CCAAATCCAAATCCGGACACAAGCCTAAGTCCAAATTCACCATTCTAAGCTGCTGGAATCATCCAAAACTCATTCTGGAGCCGTTTACATAAAAGTCAAATTCCGGTCAACTCTTACTGCTTAAGCTTCCAAAACTTGAATCCTTCTTCCGATTTGACTGCGAATTATCCGGTAACTGAATTCAACCACGCACGCAAGTCAATACACACAGTACGAAGTTGTTCAGGACCTTCTGCCACCGAATGAGACTTAAATTCTCAAAATGACCGATTGGGTCGTTACAACAAGACAAAGTATAAATTCAGCATATTACAAGACTTGAGTTATTAACACACTCTAAAACAGCAAAATAAGTTACCAAATTCAAGTTATAAGATTTTTGGTCTTAAGATCCAACAAACCTCCAAATAGCATACATAAGTATGACATATATATCATGTACATGTCCCAAAAATATACAAAACCAAGGTGCATATGCAAATGTGATCTCCATAAGTGCTCCCAAAAAGACTACTTCATAAGGCCGTCTTCAAATTTTATCCCATACATTACCTACGATAGAAAACAACTATCGCTAAGCATAAAGCTTAGTGGCGTATAAACTTTGGGCTTGGAGCCATTAACTTTTTCAATTCCCATTTTCAGTCAAAGGTAGCTCAAATGAAACACAATTTAAAACAAGTGAACAAATATATCAAAAGTATCAAATATCAACCCTTGAAGCGTTTCCAAATATCAATAACAATATTCAAGATTCAAGAGTTGAGAAAGCATATACTATCAATCCAAGAGAGTTTTTCAAATATCCATTTTTCGCCCAATATGTACGTCATGCCATCACATTAAGCATAATCAGATATCAAGATGGACTGAAACCACAAATCAAGTAGGATCAAAACCCAATAGTCAAGAGAATCAAGAACCATATTAAAAATGGCTTTCTAGTTCATACTTAACACGGACAAGTACCATAATTTAAGATGAACTACAAATCCAAAGTCAAGATGGCAAAAGATCCGAATTAAGAGGCATTCCAAGATGAGTAATAAAGTCACTGCCACAAGAAGGACAAAGTCCCAACAAGAATGCAAAATGAACAAGCAATCTGTACGAGTGGACAATTTAGCTATAATCTTACAATACTTGATATAACACGAATACAACGATATAAATTGAAGACAAAGAAAAATAAAATATCTGGTTATTTTAAAATATTCCAGCAAGTAAAAAGAGTACAAAGTTTACACACAAACCTTGGTATTTTACCACAAAACAATTCAACCACAACTTGAGCACGTTCGAATCGTCTACGCCATAGACAAACCAAATCTGTCCACTTCCTCAAACACTTCCCCTTAGATTTTCCAAGGGTATATATACCTTAAATAAATAATCAAATATCTATATAAGTTCAGTGATTTAACATGTCAAACTAAACATGATATTCATGAAAATTACCCAAAATATTTGAAACAGAAATTCTGGACAGTATCACTGTCTTGTGTTGTGACTCAGTTTTGAAGATGCAAAAGGACAAACTAGACTATATGGCTTTCATTACAGTTTTAGATATATGTCTTGGCATTTCAAAACATATTGAATCACCCCAATATCAGTTTTGTACAAAACGTTATGCTAAAATTACTAATAGTAGTACAGAAAGTATTTTTAAAACTGAAAATCTGGGCAGCACCTGCCCTGTACTTTATGATCCCTTTTCGGGTAACTACAGGCAAAACTAAATTTTGGTTCCTGAATAAGAGTTATAGATCTATGAAATATATTTTCATAAAGTCTTAGATCACTTAAAACGTAGCTCTATACAAAAAGATATGAAGAAAACACTAATAGCTATCTAGTGTAAAAACGGGTTTAGTAACTTATCACAAAAGAGAGGAGCAACTTGAGCTTCATCAAGAACGAGTTTTTCTGATTGATTTAGTGGAAATTTATGATGGTTTTTATGGAGTTTTTCAGGTGATAAGAAGGAGAGAGAGATGGGGTTTTCTTTGTCACTAAGGACTAAAAATAAGATGAGGTTATGACAAAGTATGTCACAAAAGTAATATAAAAACTTTTGATAAATATGAAAAATGTGGCTGCCCAACCTACTAAATATCTTTAGATAAATACAAAAGGGTGGCAGTCCAAAACCTTAATTATATAATATATTTAATAACAATTTATCAAAATAATATTAAGTACACATAGCAATACTATGGAACTTCTTTGTCAATATTAACACAACCTAAAGTAAGAAATTTTCGTGTATTGTCAATTTCAAGTTTAGGAAATGCGAAGTAAAAATATCTCCTCATTATAAAGATGCTCAATCGAAAATGTAAATATTAGTAAAAAGAAATTGGGGTGTTACACCATTTGCCCTTCGAAACTTTGAGCCACGTGCGCTCGTAGTATGACATCTGCTGGCAGATCCCTTCGATCTACTCCTTGAGCCAGGGGACCGCATTAGGAACCTGAGCAACAGTTGCACGACCATAAATACTGGCGATGAGAGAAGAAATGAAGGGAAATTGATACTTAAGGAAAGACTACACTTACGAGATTCGTTCCACTTCTCGGGGAATGACAGGAACTCAGGAGGTATCAGGTCTTCAGTCTTTACCTGAACAAAATGCCCTTGCCAACCTCGATCTCGATCCTCGTTTATGCTCGAAAAATGGGCTTTGCTGGCTCGACGAACAAGCTTGATTAGTCCCCCTCAGAAAATTCTTGGACTGTACAGACGGAGTAGGTGGTCGAGGGTAAATCGAGGAGATTCAGTGTTGTTCACGAAATAGCGTAGGAGGATCACGATCCTCTAGAGGGATGGTGGATTTGCTCGAGGCACACCTCGTACCTCGGGGACAACAACGTCCTTGCCTTCCCATTTACAGTCCTCTGGACTATGGGAAGGGTATCTTCAGTGACTGAGCATATATATCTCAATGCTCCTTCGCCTCGATCTTGTTTGACGGAGGCCTTTTCGACCTTGATATCGTCCTCGATAGAACAGCCCCCGGTATGAAGCTTTTCATAGGATGCTTTGAAAGCACCTCAGGGACATCTACCTCGACATCTGGGGTCGGGTGGGAAGATGAAGGGACCGCTTGCTATGGTACGGACTTGGAAGTTTTGGCCATCGTAAATCTGGAAAGATATATGAAGATTTGAAGAAGGCATATGAAGATTTGTAGGTTAGAAGTGAAGATATGAAGTTTTGGGTTGAAAACCTCAAAAATTATATGAAGGTTTGAAGGTTAAAGATGAAGATGTGAAGGTTCAAGAAGCGAGGTATGAAGATTTGAGAAAGCTGAAAGCCTTTATGAAGTTCGAAGGTAAGAGTTAGGATCAGAAAGTGAAAAAAGTGAAGGGGGCGAAGCTTTTATAGGGAGAAATGTAATTAATACGCGACGTTTCACATTCGAAGGCAACCAGCCGATGATCGACACATGTCCGAAGTCAGACCGACGCAATAGATGGGACGTTTCATCTTATCCGCCATCTCGGTTGTAACGTACAAAGGAAGAAACCCGGGTTCATCTATCATTTTCCATCGTTTTGGCAAATCTACTCTTTGAAAAATGAAGGAACTATCTGTATACGGGTGAAACCGAGGACCCGCATACCCTGATTTTTCGGTGGGATAAACAAAGCAAGGTTATGAATACATGGGATTGAAATCGAAGTTGGGAACTTAATGTACCGAGGCCCGAACGGAATGCTTACCATCGGACCTGATAAGACAACACTTCCCAGGCCCAGAACGAGCTCAAGACCTCGAAAAACATGGCAAACGGTTGCGCACAACTAACGAAGGGTTGTGATATCCGCACCCGACCGGATATCACGGCGCAGATCTCACCCGATATCGGCAACAAATTAGTAATTAACGAGAAAGGAGGATTTTTACCTTTTTAAGAAATATACTAGAGATGAAACTCTCCTACTATACAAAGGGGAGATTTTTATTTCAATAGGACATATTGTAACACGCATACCAAGGCAATACAAATTTATTTCTCTGCTTTCTAGCTATTGCAAAGTCCTTACTTTACTTTTGTTCTTTGTTCTTGACTAGCTTCGAACCAAGGACCCAACCGAGGGAAGAAACTATTGCCCAATCCAAGTTCAAGCTAGACCATAACATTACGACTGGTTTGATTACTCATTGTATCTTTAACTTATTTATCTAACGTTATTGATTAGTTGTGTTGAATCAATCCACATATACTTAAAACCGCATATAAATTCAATTGTTATCCGTTTTAAGGGTAAACAGATATCACATTTTAAGGTAATATATTCCTGAGTTTATCAAGGTTTTAGTCTATTAATTGTTGCTTTTATAATTCGACATTATATATACAATAGTAATATTTTCACAACTTCAACTAATTTTCAATTTCATTCTTGAAGATGAAGGTCAAAGAATTCACCTAAAGTTGTTTCAAAATAAAGATATCAATGATTTTTTATTACTTACTTCACCGCGTAACCCAATTAGAAGCACTTCAAATTTTAGTATTAGACATCCACTAGTGTAAAATAGTAGGCCAAAACAACCTGGATTACAGCATACAATGTTGTATTAAGGTCAAAATACAGCTATATACGACCAACTTATTAGAAATGGCCTTTCGTCCTTTCTATTTTTGCCTGCGAGGGATATATGCTTGTTCTATATTTTTAGCAATAAACATCAAGCCAAAATTGGTGATTTGGAAATGTTCTTATATACTTAAAGTCATTGTCAAAGCAGTTTCTAATTAGGTGATGATTGAACATAATTAAGAGGAGGTAATTAATTAAAGGAAAGGAGAATTAAGCTGTGAAATAAAGACCATTTCAAGTTGGCACTCCCAGAAAAATTCAAATATAAGAGTTATACTCCATCTATTTTCTAATTAAGAAGCAGTCGCTGTTGAAACGACGCGGTAGTTTACTGAGTAAAACCTCATTGCTTTCCTGTATAAATACTGTATCCTTTTTCCTTTTTCCCTCCACTCCCAGCTTTAATTCCATTTACTATAAACCAACTGAAATAACACCACTCCTAATTTTGATTTAGTTTCTTGAACTCCTTGTCTTCTTCTTTTATCCTTTTGGGCTCTACTGATAATTAATCTCACACTAGCATGAGGAGTAAAATGGCTAAATGGTCAAGTTTCTTGACCTTGTTTTTAGTAGTTTTTACCAGCTTTAATTTCACTGTTTCATTTGCATCCTTAAAGGTCGGTTTCTACCAATCAAATTGCCCAAATGCAGAAGCCATTGTGAGAAAAGCAGTGAATAGAGCTGTATCTCGCAACCCTGGACTTGGCGCTGGTATTATCAGGATGCATTTTCATGATTGCTTTGTTAGGGTACGTAACTCTATACTACTATTCTTTTAATTTATCTATCTCCATTAACTTCTAACAAACCAAACAAAATACAGAAAAAATTGTAAAAAATCATCTCTTTTCCCTTTTAATAACTGAGTATACGTTTTTGTGTAATGCAGGGTTGTGACGCTTCTATCCTTTTGGATTCAACTCCTGGAAATCCAGCAGAGAAAGAACATCCAGCAAACAATCCAAGCTTACGAGGCTACGAAGTAATCGATGCGGCAAAATCAGAGCTGGAATCTGTATGCCCACAAACAGTATCCTGCTCAGATATAATTGCATTTGCTGCTAGAGACAGTAGCTTCAAACTTGGAGGCATCAGATATTCAGTACCAGCAGGTCGTCGCGACGGAAGAGTATCCATTAAAGATGAACCAAACGAACATCTTCCACCATTTACCTTCAATGCTAGACAGTTAGAAGAAAATTTTGCAAAAAAAGGACTTTCTTTAGATGAAATGGTTACCCTTTCTGGTGCACATTCTATTGGAAGAACTCATTGTTCTTCTTTTTCAAGCAGACTTTACTCATTCAATTCTACTCACACACAAGATCCTTCAATGGATACTAGACTAGCCAAACAATTGAGAAAAAGATGTCCGCCTTCTAATAATGATGGGTCTGGAAATGATCCAACTGTTCCACTTGATGTTGTTACTCCAAATAGATTGGATAATAAGTACTATGTTAATTTGAAGAATCATAGGGGATTGTTAACCTCGGATCAGACTCTATGGAAAAGTCCTTTAACGGCTGGAATGGTGAGGAGTAATGCAATTCATGGTGTAAATTGGGCTCGTAAGTATGCAGCTGCAATGGTGAAGATGGGATCTATTGAAGTTATGACTGGTATGCAGGGGGAGATTAGGAACAACTGCAGGGTTGTGAATTAGTGGGTGATTCTTAATTTTGAAATCTTTTTATCCTAATGTGTAACAAATCATTTTTTATTTTTTCAAAACTGTACCTGAATTTTTCCAACTGTAATTTAATTACTTTTTAATAATTATTTGATTATTTTTATTGAAAAGAACAGACGACCCAATGTACCTCCCGGCTCCAAGTGTATATGAAATAGTATATTCAAAATACAAATAACTGGTTGCTGGTATGAAATAGATAGAGAATTCTAGTCATAAGGCGGAATAAGGCGGAGTCACGATGGAGCTTATACATTCAGAATTCTAATCATTTTGAATTATTGTGTTCTAAATTAATAATATGTACATGCTTAATAAATTTTGTAAGACAAATATAAGTTTGGACCAAAACTATTCGGTTCGGCCAAATGTCCAAACTATATTTCTTATTCTTCTGACTCCGCCTTGTCAGTCATTGTATTTTGGTACGAATTTTCACTAACACAAGGTCACAAGTTTCTAAGATGATAACCCTTAAGAAAACTTTCTTCCATCTAAGAATGCTAATCAAGAGTACTTGTTCATCGATTCAATTTGACCTTTTCACATTGCTACAAAAATCTATTTCAAAATTATAATTTATTTTATCCCATCTAAGTTTCAGATTCTACTTCTATAATCCTACATGTAGGGCCTCATGGTACATGTAGGGCCAAATCAAACTCACACAGCTAACTTGAATTTTCTTTCTTTCCTTAATTATATGGGTTTAATTAAATTAAACACAAGGTGTTGTACGGTTTTCAGGCTTGTTTAGAGTATGTTCTTCTGTTTAGTTATCCCAAAATATGATGTCAGTACTGCTTGTAATATCCATTAGCTAATTCTTGAAAATTTTTTGGCGTTATTCCTAGCGTAAAAGATTATGCTTGGAAAAAATGGTCAATCCAAATATTATAATTGAAGTTGATGCCAAGTGTTTATATTAGAATTTGCATTACAATCAAGCGCTCATGAGGTGTATTGATTCCTATATAACCAAAAATGACAAACTGAAAAACTGAATTATTTGGCCATTATATTGAGTAATTCTTACGGTTGAATAAGTGAAAATCTGATTTACTGCTTATATACGTGAAACTGCAGTTCAAGCAAACACATACCTTGAACTAGCAAGTTCAGATCGTCTTCAATTTATTAATTTCTTTTGGTAGTAAAGTATATATATTTAGAAACATTCATAGACTATCCATCAAAATATACAGTTAAAAATATTTAAATATTATATTTCAACACTATCATAGAATAAACTATTTGATTCTCCAATTGTTAATATGATTTTTCAAAACTATCAAAGAATAAACAATTTGAGTCTCCAAATATGACCATATTAGGACTAATTTTAGTTTCACAAGCCTTCGATCAAGGAATAAGAATCCGAGAAACAAAAGGAAAAGGAAATGAAGAAAATTATCCTAATCCAACACAAACAATGGAAAAATTAATTAAACCTAGGGAAAGGAAAGGAGGCCTATTGTTGTCTCTTCTCTATATATATATATACTACTCCAATCTTCTTCCTAGCTTTTGCACAAAATAATGGCTACTACAACCATAATTCCCTCTTCTCTTCTCATAATACTACCTTTAATCATACTAGTAGCTTTTTCTTCTACTGCCGTCTCGACCAGAAAATTACTCCTATCACCTGCCGTTGCTGCTCCAACAAAACCACCAAACCCTAGTATTATTACCACATTATTAACTCCTAATGAAGACCCAAAACAGCTTCTTAATGTGAAGGGTGACTTTGTTCATTGTAATTATTATTATGGGTGTCATACTCATCATCTTGGTCACGAGCATCACAGCCGATTAAGCAAAATCCGCAACGAGGTTTTTTGCCGTTATTGAACTTGTGATTGTTGCTATTACTGTGGTCTGCCTTCTGTTGTGTATAGGCTGTTGTGTGTTGGAAAAATGTCGTGGATCGTGAAAACAAAATCAGGGTTCATTTATCTTAGGAAATTAATTTTGTACCTACTCTAATTTAGCATCATATTCATACCTGTTCAAGCAACAAGCACTTTGCTTAAAATTAGCCAATGCTAATTGTCTTCAATTTACTTTATGCATTCTACTTAATTTTAGTTACTTAGTAATGTTATAATTCTGTATTGCTGTAATAAACAATTAAACTTTCTCAAAAAACAAAACAGAAAGTTAGTAATACTTGTTTAACGAAATAAATTCTGGAAAAAACAGTATAGGAATAAATCGAGCCCACTGAATACACAGTGTGTCCTTAAGAAAATTATTCCCCTCAAGTACCCGAGGTGCTGGAATATATCCTCCCAGGATAGAATAATTTAACTCACCAGAGTGTTGGTACCAAAACGCCGGTGAACAGCGAGCCACTC